GAAAATCCTTAAGCCAGGGTCGGAAAGAAGATACCGAAGGACATGATAGGCAACCAAGAGATGTGCTTGATGAGGTCGTTGCATATATTGACTAAGATGTTGGACGAAAAAAGAGATGTCAGGGCGTGTGTGGGTGAGAAAGTTGAGTTGCACAATAAGCCGGCGATAACTAGTAGCATCAGGAAGGGGATAACCCATATCTGATTGTAATTTGTGTGTGAGATCCAAAGGGGAAGAAGCGGGTTTAAGGCCAAGGCACTCATATTCCGATAAGAGCTCCAGGATGAACTTTCGTTGATTAAGAATTAAACCATGGGGTTCCCTGATTACTTCAATACCCAAAAAATAGTGTAAGTCCCCCAAATCTTTGATCTTAAATTCTGAGTCCAAGAATGATTTTAAAGCATCTAATTCTGCCTTGTTGTTGCCTGTAAGTAGAATATCATCAACATAGACGGCTAGGATAGAAATAGAAGAATCATGGCACTTATAAAAAAGTGAATAATCATTTAGGGAGTGAGTAAAGCCTTTAAACTGCAAGGCTGAAGTCAGACGAATATACCACTGTCTCGAGGTATGTTTTAAGTCGTAAAGAGACTTCTTTAAACGACAAACTTGAGTAGGATCAGCCACTTTCAAACTAACTGGAAATTTCATGTAGACTTCCTTATCTAACTTACCATGAAGAAATATGTTGTTTACATCTAATTGATATAACCCCCAACCCTTCTTAATGGCAATAGCAAGCAGACAACGTATAGTAGTAATCTTGACGACAGGGCTGAAAGTTTCTGTAAAATCAATACCGTATTTTTGAAAATCACCTCGTACAACTAACCTAGCCTTCAGTCTCTCTACAGAACTGGATGAATTGAGCTTAACTTTGTAGACCCATTTAGTAGGCAAAGCTTTCTTTCCCGGAGGTAATGAGACCACTTCCCAAGTGTCATTAGTGATCAAAGCCTCTAGCTCCTTAGTCATAGCATCTTGCCAACCCGGATATAAAATAGCTTGGGTAAAAGAAGTAGGCTCTTGAATATGGGACAAAGAAGTGATATAATTATGGTTAGAGTGAGATAAAGCAGAAAAAGCGAAAAGGGAAACGGATGAAGGGTAAGAGAAACAAATATCAGACACACGAGAAAGATGGACACTATTGCAAACATAATCTCGTAGGTAGGCTGGAGTCTTGACAGATCTAGTGGATTTTCGTAAGATAACAGGATCTGAAGAAGAAATAGGAGGATTCGAAACAAGGGAATGAGGGACATAAATAATAGGAACAGGAGAAGGTGACATACTAGAGGAAAAATCAGGCTCATAATAGGCTTGAGGAATGTCAAAGGGAAACATAGAAACGGATGGCTGAATGGCAACAAAAGGGTAAATATCTTCATGGAATTTAACATCCCTTGAAACAAAACACTTTTGAGAAATGAGACTTAATAATTTGTAACCTTTTTTGCCAAATGGATATCCAAGAAAAACACAAGGCTCAGCCCTTGGCGCTAATTTAGATCTTCCCTGAGAAAGAGTAGAGGCAAAGCCAAGACACCCAAAACACTTTAAATGAGAGTAAGAAGGAGGATGGTGAAACAATCTTTCATAAGATGTTTTGAAAGAAAATAACTTAGTGGGGCACCTATTAATCAAGTAAGTGGTTGTCATAAGAGCATCCCCCCAAAATTTATGTGGAAGATGAAACTGAAAAAGAAGGGCTTGACAAATTTCCAATAAATGTTTGTGTTTTCGTTCAACCACACCATTTTGTTGTGGTGTGGCGACACAAGAGGTTTGATGAATAATTCCTTGGAGGATAGAAATCTAGAATTTTCTGAACTGGAACCTAATTCCCAAGCATTATCTGATCTAATGATTTTGACTTTTTGTTGAAATTGTCTTTCTATCATAGCAAGGAAGGACTTAAGAATAGTGAATGCATTGCTTTTAGTGGTTAGCAAAAAAGTCCAAGTTCCTCTACTAAAATCATCAACTATGGTAAAAAAATATCCATCATAAGTAGGTGTTTGAAAGGGTCCCCATGTATTAATATGAATTAAGTCAAAAATTTGCTTAGAAGAAATCTGGCTAGTAGGAAAAGGGAGTTTGTGTTGTCTTGCTAAGGGGCAAATAGAACAGGGCACAGAAAACTTTGAAACAACAGAAACTGGAATTTCATTAATATGCTGAATATTTAAAAGAGGGATATGACCCAATCTTACATGCCATAGTCTACTTTTAACATCATTAGAAGAAATACAAGACAAACTGGATGAAACATCCTTGAAGGAATGAGAACTACAACTAGAATTTTTAAAAGAAAGAGCAACTGGAAGCCTATTCTTGAGGGCATAGAGACCATTCTGACTTTCACCAAGGAGCATTGAGCTCTTCATTGAAGGACCCTGCATGAAACAATGAGAAGAGGTAAAAATTAGCATGTTAGAAAGTTGTTTGCACAACTGATGGACAGACAAGAGGTTGAAGTGAAAACTGGGCACAAATAAAATATTGTGAATGATAAGATTAGAGAAAAGTTTCACAGAACCTGAGTGTGAGACCTCAACCTTTTGGGAATTAGGCAAATTAACACAAATAGTCTTAGGTAGAGATTCAAGATTGAAAAAGAGATCCTTGTTATAGCTTATGTGCTCACTTGCACCTGAATCTATTATCCAAGTTAGCCTAGTATAGGTAGTAGGATCAAACATGTAAATTCAAAGAAAAAGGACGAGGACAAAAAGTTATACCAACACAGTTAACAGAGGTTGTGACTTCAGAGACATTGTTGCTTTGATCATTGTTTTTCATATTTTGAAGCATCTGCATCACCTGTGCTAGCTGATTTGTAGATAGTAGTTTACCTGAATCTGTTGAGTCCACATCAGCCATAAAAGAATTTCCAGAAAACTCATTTGAAGTCACTGCATGTCCCTGAACAGAATTCTGAAAATTTTTCTACCTAGTAAATTTAAAATTTGGTGGAAAACCATGTAGCTTATAGTATTTCTCAATAAGATGCCTTGATTTCTTACAATATTTGCATAAAAGAGTTGATTTCTTAGCATCATAAGGAACTCTCTGACCCCTGAAATCAGTAGAAAAAGTCCTTTGACCAACATTTGTTTGATTTGTCGCAATAAAAGAAGAGGATTCTCCAGGAAATTTTGGGATCTTTTGCAACTCCCTTTGTTTCTCCTCCTGAATCAACAGGGCATAAGCATTTGAAATAGAAGGTAAGGGTGAGATCATGAGTATGTTACCCCTGGCAGCACAATAAGACTTATTGAGTCCCATTAAAAATTGAACTAGACGTTCATCTTGTTTGGACTTAACGTTTTTCTCTTTTGCTCCGCAGGAACACACACAAGAGCAAAGAGTAAAAGAGTCTAAAGTATCCAACTCATCCCAGAGTCGTTTGATCCTGGTATAGTAAGCAATAATATCAGATGACCCTTGGACAAGGTCACTGAGTTCTTTTTGAAGTTGGAAAAGATGAGGGCCAGAGCTCCGACCAAACCTGTCTTCCAATTCTGCCCAAATATCTTTAGCAATGGAGTAATACAAGACACTTTCAGAAATTTCTCTAGAAAGAGAGTTCAGTAACCAAGAAATTACCATGTTGTTAGATCTGGACCAAGCTTGATGGAGGTATGTTCCTGCTTCAGGTTCCACAGTTGATCCATCAATGAAACCTGATTTGTTCTTAGCAGTCAAGGTTATCCACATGCCTCTCTTCCATCCACCGAAGCTCTTTCCATCAAACACAATATTGACCAACAAAGTACCAGGAGAATCAGAATGTGATATGAAGTAAGGGTGAGCAGGGTTAATCAAATCAGTAGAGAGCATATTAACAGCTGAAAGGAGAACTGTAATCCCAGTAGCTATTTCAGTAGTCTCTACCATGATAACAAAATATTGAACTGAAAAAAATGAAAAGAGTAGAAATCAGAACTCTTGCTCTGATACCATGAATGAGTAGACGAAGAACAATTGAGCTAAATTTTCTGTATAACTTATTTCTGCATAACAAATGTATATATAGGAAATACAAGGAATAAAAATGCTAACAGACTAACAGGTGTCCTATCTCAATTGGCTAACTTGTAACAAACTATTATTTACAATTAATAAAAACATAAATGGAAATAATATTTAAACAAGAACAGAAAATTGTGGAAGGTTCTGGATTGGTGCCAGCTGTGAGGCCACGTGTTTCTTCAGTCTTCATTTTTACTTTGCTTTTTTCAATTTTGCAATATCTATGTCTGAAACACTCTTCTCTTTCATAATGAAACCTTTGCTATCTTTCTTCCCTAATGGATTTTCATCATCTGTAATTCCAACAATTCTATTATTATTATCTCAACGTCAGAACTAATGTATTATTGTGAATTTCAACTTCCATGATGTAGTAAGAGGATCACAATTTTCTCTATTGATAAAATGTTATGGAATCCAGTATTGATTTGAATTGAAAAAGAAGGAAAATTGGGGGAAAAAGAAGAAGAGAGAACTAGGGGAAAAGGGAGAATTAGAGAATAAGGAAAAAATTGGAAAGAGATTGTAATTGCTGATAATCCCTTCATAATATCAGTTAGAGTATATTAATCATAATTAATTTGAAAATATTAGTAATTATTATGGGGTATTTATTTATTTAAAATTAAAATTGTCTATAGGACATGAGTTCAGTTTCCCCTCAAATAATTGGTTTGAATAAAATGTGTCTATTATTAGTAAGGTCAAACTGGAATATTCTGGAAGGAACAGGAAGGCAATAGAGAGTTCATCGAACGGCCGTAATCTAAGTATCAGAATGCTCTGGAAATCAAACTTTTTTCCTTTATATATAAACTTGACAATTTGTCTTCTCCAATCACAGAAATTTGCTTCATTACATTACATCTCAAACATCACAATTTCTTTCTTCTTTAATTTAATTGTTTCTCTGTATTTGGGTGAATAAAGTAAAGTAAAGAAAAGAAAAGAAAAGAATGGCAGGAAAAGGTGAAGGGCCAGCCATTGGAATTGATTTGGGTACTACCTACTCCTGTGTAGGTGTATGGCAACATGATCGTGTTGAAATTATAGCAAATGATCAAGGCAACAGAACCACACCCTCTTATGTTGCTTTTACTGATACTGAACGCCTCATTGGTGATGCTGCGAAGAATCAAGTCGCTATGAACCCAGTTAACACTGTATTCGGTATGCACCTGTTTTACTTATTGTGCATTGTATGTTTAACATTCCGCTTGCTACTCGTAATTATCGAACGACATTTTGATTTTCTTTTTTGGTTTCAGATGCTAAGCGTTTAATTGGAAGGAGATTTAGTGATCCTTCGGTGCAGAGCGATATGAAATTATGGCCTTTTAAGGTTATACCCGGGCCTGCTGACAAGCCAATGATTGTTGTTACATACAAGGGTGAGGAGAAGCAATTTTCTGCTGAGGAAATCTCATCCATGGTCTTAACCAAAATGAAGGAGATTGCTGAGGCATACCTTGGGACAACAATCAAGAATGCGGTCGTCACAGTCCCTGCTTACTTCAATGATTCGCAGCGTCAGGCAACTAAAGATGCTGGTGTCATATCTGGTCTTAATGTGATGCGTATAATCAACGAACCAACAGCAGCTGCAATTGCCTATGGACTTGACAAGAAATCTACCAGTACTGGTGAGAAAAATGTGTTGATTTTCGACTTAGGTGGTGGTACTTTTGATGTCTCTTCTCACTATTGAAGAGGGGATTTTTGAGGTTAAAGCTACTGCTGGTGATACTCACTTGGGAGGTGAGGATTTTGATAATAGAATGGTGAATCATTTCGTTCAAGAGTTCAAGAGGAAGCATAAGAAGGATATTAGTGGGAATCCGAGAGCCTTGAGGAGGTTAAGGACTGCTTGTGAGAGGGCTAAGAGGACTTTATCATCCACTGCTCAAACAACAATTGAAATTGATTCGTTGTATGAAGGGATTGATTTTTACACAACTATCACTTGGGCAAGATTTGAGGAGATGAACATGGACTTGTTCAGGAAGTGTATGGAGCCTGTGGAGAAGTGTTTGAGAGATGCTAAGATGGATAAAAGCGGCGTTCATGATGTGGTTCTTGTTGGTGGGTCAACTAGGATCCCCAAAGTTCAACAATTACTTCAAGATTTTTTTAATGGAAAGGAGCTTTGCAAGAGTATCAACCCCGATGAAGCAGTTGCTTATGGTGCAGCTGTGCAAGCTGCAATTTTGAGCGGTGAAGGCAACGAGAAGGTTCAAGATTTGTTGCTGTTGGATGTCACTCCTCTGTCACTCGGTTTAGAAACCGCGGGAGGTGTAATGACTGTGTTGATTCCAAGAAATACAACCATTCCAACCAAGAAGGAGCAAGTTTTCTCTACATACTCGGACAACCAACCCGGTGTGCTGATCCAGGTGTACGAAGGAGAAAGAGCGAGGACCAAGGACAACAACCTGTTAGGCAAGTTTGAACTCTCTGGCATCCCACCTGCACCAAGGGGTGTTCCTCAGATCAATGTCTGCTTCGACATTGATGCCAATGGAATCCTGAATGTTTCCGCAGAGGACAAAACTACCGGACAGAAGAGCAAGATAACTATCACCAACGACAAGGGTCGACTCTCCAAGGAAGAGATTGAGAGAATGGTGCAAGAAGCTGAGAAGTACAAGTCTGAAGATGAAGAGCTCAAGAAAAAGGTGGAAGCTAAGAATGGATTGGAGAATTACGCTTACAACATGAGGAACACTATTAAAGATGACAAGGTTAGTTCCCAACTTCCAGCTGCTGATAAGAAGAAAATTGAGGACGCGATCGATGAAGCTATCAAGTGGATAGACAGCAACCAACTTGCAGAAGCTGATGAGTTCGAAGACAAGATGAAGGAACTGGAAAGCATATGCAATCCGATTATTGCCAAGATGTATCAAGGTGGTGCTGGTGGAGCTACTATGGATGAAGATGGTGGTCCTTCTGTTGGTGGTGGTGCAGGAAGTGGTGCTGGACCAAAGATTGAGGAAGTGGATTAGGAGTTTTTGAGTTGAATTGTTTTACTTGTTTGTTACTAAGTATGCTTTGAATAGCCTTTTGTAATGAAAGTTTGTTCATCCTTTTGTTGTTAATAAATTATGTGCTTTTCAATATAGAATTGAAGAAAGCTTCTGCTGTTCTTATCCTTAAACTGTGGTGCAGTGACTTAATAGCTTCTTCTTTTTCTGACAAAAATCTGCTTGTGAACAAGTTATGTCAAAACTATAATGTTTAGTTCACTAGATTAAAAACTGAATATATGGAGATACAATATACAAATATATGCACTTCAATAATTGGGAAATTCCTTAGTATCATAAAGGAAAGCCTATCTGGGATGGACTACTCCTTAGTCAAGCAAAGCTAGATTCGGGAAAATAAAACATGCTCTACTCCTTCCTTCGATTGCTTTCATTTTCGGGTTACATATATATATTTGGTTAAAATAGGAGAAAAACTCATTAGCAACATTTTCGGGTTACATATATATATTTGTTAAAATAGGAGAAAAACTCGTTAGCAACAAAGAGGAGGAGAAAAAGAAACTTGGTTGGGAATACATTTATCAACTCCCAAGCAAAGCAAAAAGGATATATGTACTATTAGAGAAAACAATCCAGCTCAAAATAGTATGGTTCATTTTGCATTTCTGAAAATTATAAGCTGGTATTCAATACCTGGAATGAACATTTGTCTCCACTTGCACTTACAACATGTTCACTCAAGAGGTGCCATGGGAGAGGAACATAGATACTCAAAGACTATGCAGAGCTCTATTGCATTATGTAACGTTAGAAACGACAAATTTAGAAAAGAAGTAGATCTTATTGTCTGAAAACACTAGGCAGGAAACAGTCTTCATGTTCCTAGAGTAACAGAATGGATCATTGTAATTCAGACCACTAAAGATTACCTTTTCTTTTTTCCTATAGACTTGATTCATTAAAAATGACTACATATATCTCCACTTATAATAACATGCTTCGCTCTGCATCACATTGTACGCGACACAGCAGTGCTACAGAACAGCCTTAAAAGAGCAGCAGCAAAGGATCTAATAAGGTGGTATCATCAGCTATGAGGCCCTTGACTGAGCAGCAATTCAACAATGATTGAATTTCCCACTAAAAACTTAACCTAAGAAAAGAATGGAAGTTAACTATCTGGGCTACACTACACTTTCTGCAATCAATACCTATCTCACGACAACATAAACTCATTTGGAGGTCGAAGACAAACAGGAACTTCATGCACTTCTGGAGTTGTGCCATATTTGGGAACTTTCAATTCAAGTACAGCTCCACTCATGTCAAAATATGCTTCTAGCTTCGCATCATCAGGTATTCGAGTTGGAAGTGAGATTTCCCTTGTGAATTCACCGCAAGGACAGTGCTCTGGAGATGGGTCAGTTAGCTTGAATGTTCTACCATTTCTCACCATGAATGGGGGGCATGCCGTGGACACAAATGTTATTCTTATGATGGCATGATTAGTATTGTTCCACCAATGAACTTTCACCTTTTCACGATCAACAAAAGGTAGAGTGATCATAATCACATATCCTTCCGAGTCCTCGTATATAACTTTTGCAGCAACGGCTGGCCCATACACATTCTTCATTACCCCCGAAAACTCATTCATCCAAGGTGGTGCAATAGTGTGTGGTTGTCCATCTTGATGTCTGTTTAAACTGGGATTAGTCGACAAGAAACAATCTTCATCACTTCCATGAGAAAAGAAGTCTTTCCTTTTCTTACCACAATCAGATGAGAGCTCTAAACCATTGCTGTTCACATGGTTTGATGGTCGAGTTGACAAGTTAAGACTAGAACCATTAAGCAATTTTTTCGAAGGAAGATGAGAATTGCTCTTTGGCAAAGGGATCGATCTTTGAAGCTCAAAATCTGTGTTGGGAAGGTTCCGCCATGAACTGAAGTCTCTAGCTTCGGGTGGTATTGAAAATTTGAGATCCCTACCAGTAAGTTCCATCCACTTCTTCTGCTCTTCCTCATCAATACACAATAAATTGGGTGATGGAACAAGCTCAATTCCATGCAAACACACCGGATTGGAGAGGCCTCTATAATGCTTATGCTGCATTTTATGAGAACAGATGAACCCCTTGTCAACACTAAATGGAAATGAATGCTCGCCCTGCTTGGAATGTCCATTCATATAACTCCTCAACTGCATTTCCCCCAACGCATTTTCAGACCTATCCTTGAAAACCCACATGTACATATTCTCCATATCATGCTGAGCCAAAAACACATCAAGCTGGAGATCAGACTTATCAAATCCCGACACCCCATTACTATCTCGAACAACTTTGCACTTAGATTTCTCCTTCAAAACAGGCTTAAAGTAAAAAGTAAAGAAAAACCAAGCACCCCAAACACTATCCAATCTCTTATCACAATTCCTTCCAACTTTAGGCAAATCAAGAAGCTCAAAACATTCATTAATCTGGTTTCCAAGTCCAACCTCCATCATATCAAACACGTCATGATTCCAAGATAGAGGTGGTGGTGGAGGACGAGGAGTAGGGCTACGTTCCATATATAATGGGAGATTAATATCCGGTGGCCTCGAAATCACAATCTCCCTATTCATATCCCTGTCTGAATCCTCATTAGAGGTAGCAGCAGCAATTGCAATTGAGTCCATAGACAAGAATGTAGATAGTTGATAATTATCAATTGACAAACTTGTCATCAAATCTTCCCCCATCTGTTTACCACTATTTAATTCCTTACAACAAAACCCCAATTACCAAAAAAAAAAAAACCTCAATACACACACAAGTTCAAGATTTTACTACAAAAACAATAAAACAAACATGGGTATTTAATATTTTATCAAATATCAGTATAAGAGGTTGTTCTATGCTATAAAGATGAGATTTTTATCAGAAAAAAAAAAGGATTCTTGAATTCAAGAAAAAACCCTATAAAATTGAAAAAAACATATATATGGATTTGAATTATAAGGAATACAAATAAAGGGTTTATTAAGATTACCTTTTTAACAAAGATTTCAACTTTGAATCGAATAGAAATATTCAAAAAGAATCAGCAGCAGCAGTCCATGTCTACAGAGAAAAAAAAAAAAGGAAGGAAGAAAGACCTTTGAGATTGAAGAAAAAATAAATGGTGACGGAGACCGTTAACTTTGACGGCGTTAATGGGAAACGTAACGCCTGATAAGCCAAGGTCTAATTGTGATTAGGGGATGAGTGATAAGTAATCTAGCTTATCATATCTTACGTACATATTTGTTATTTATACTCCCTCATTCCACTCTAAAAAATCAAAAGATAATTTATATTTTGTGTCTATTTAACCCTGTTATTAAATACTATTTATCGTTTAACATATTTCTCAAATCATTAAATTTAATAAAGTCAAAGTAATATACTCCATCTGTCCACTTTTAATTGTCATGTTGCGTTTTTCGAAAGTCAATTTGACTAATTTTCAAAGTTAAATTAGATTACATTAATTTGATATTTTAAACAAAAAAAATTAGATATTCAAAAACTATACGAAAAGTACCGTAAATTCCAACTTTTTGCATATCAATATGATGAAAAGATACATCATAAAATATTAGTCAAATATATTATTGTTTGACTCTAAAAAAGGAAATTATGACAATTAAAAATGGATGGAGGTAGTAGTAATATTATCCCTATTATTTATTATTTTTTAAGGGATATGTCAAGTCAATAGTGAACAATTATTATTGGACTGAGAAAGTTTTTGTATATTATGTACTTCAGCGATACTTTTTCTAGTTACGCAAGTGTAGATACATTTTTTGTATTGAAGTTGTGAAGATTGTATCAAAGATACAATTATGGTTATTGTCATTATTTGTACAATTTCTTATCTGACGTAAGTAATTAGTACAACAATGTAATCAATTGCATTAATTTATGAAACTAAGTAATTGATTTGCTATAGAATCGTATAAATTCATATCGGTAATAATATATCCCAAACAACTTTTTTAATTAAAATTCACTAATTGAATGTGCAATGGACGAAACCTACTTTTCTACAAGTTAACATGAAGATTAATGCATAGAAAATTAATTGTGATGTATCATGATATCTTTAGGATACACCATGTATCATGATACCTTTAGATACATGATGTATCTCGATACGTTTAGGATACATGATGTATCATGATTCGCTTAAGATACATGATGTATCTCGATACGTTTAGGATTCATTATGTATCATGATACCTTTTGAATGTATAATGTATCATGATACCTTTCGAATACATGATGTATCAATAATGTCTAATACAATCTTTTCTACATTTTCACTTTTTTGGGTACTAGAATCCACACCATTGATAGAGAATTTGTGAAAGCTTAGAGCAAATCCTAAAAAAATAATTAAAAATTATACTTAGAAAATAAGAATCGAAAAAAAAAATATGTAGATGAACTTACTGAAATAAAATCTTTACCTTATATGGATAATCATAAAAGAGGAAATTTAGGAAAATTTCTAATTAACTTTAATTAGAAGAAATTGAAGTAAATCATACTTAATTGGTGGAGTTGAGACATGGGAGATAAATAGGGATAGTATAAGTGAGAGAAAGAAGAGAGAGAGAAAAAATATTCTGATATAATTTTTAATTATATGTGAAATAAGGGTTTGGCATAACCATTTAAATTTGCTATTAAAATAATATTGTAACTTTGTTGGTTAATTATTTTTAAATACGGTTCTAATTAGTAAATATAAGGCTTATGTTTGTCTAGTTGTGTAAATTTTTCTTAAATTATTCTTGAATTATGCGAAATGAAATGAATTTTTATCCTACATTAATAGTTGAAATAAAAAATACCCTTAACTTTATTAAAATGACCAAATTTTGTTTTTATTTTCAAACGATGAAAGGTTGACACTCGATGATACCACATGTCCAAAGGAAGAAAAAAAAGGGTGATTGGTGATAAAGTAGTGTTGGAAAAGAAAAAGGAATAATAGAAAACAAAATTTAAAAATTCAAAATTAAGAAAATGGTAAAATTCATCCTTAGCTTAAAAAATATTAATCAAACACGTGACATCACCAGATGCTAAGCTTTTATAGTTTGAAAATAACTCATTTTAACAAGGACATATTAGTTTCATTTCACATAATTTAGGAGTCAATTTACCCTTTCCATCCCCGTCCTTTATTTTTATTTTTTGAATTATAAAATGATCAAAACAAAAGTCTAACAATGTTCGAAAGAATTTTCATACAACCTAAAGCTTGTAGAAATATTAATTTGCATGTTATAAGAACATGTTTCCTTGATCAACATGTTTATTCCTAAACTCAATTCTTCAATAAATTCTTCTTGCATTTGAAATTTGTTGAGTAACTTCTAATCAACAGTTCTCTCCATTGGTCTATTGGGCCTGAATCTTCAATGTCGATGATATTTCTACAACTTGTTATTAATATGTATTACTAAAATATTATGAACAGAAATTTTCAAACAGTAAGGTTTAAAAAATATTTTCAAAACAAGTAAACTCAAAATCAGTAAACAAAAAAGAATTTGAAATATTTTTCTGAAAGAAGAAAACCGAGTTCATTGAATGCACAATGCTTTCTTAAGGAAAATTATTCTCCTCAAGTACCCTTAGGTTAATGTATGAAATATATATCTCCTTCCAAGATAGAACGATTTTACTCACCAATGTATTGATACCTAAAATCACGATGTCAACAAACCACTCAACAACAGTAAAATACGCTAGAATTTGTTTGTGTAAAAGAAGAAGTTGAGAAAATTCATTGTTAGAAATGAGAGAAAACCCTTCTATTTACCGACAACAAAAAAAAGTATGAACAAGTGTTTATTATACCTTATTGAAAAGGTCACAATCCTTCAGAAAAATCACAATTCTTTAGAAAAGTCACAACCTTTCAAAAAAGTCACAATTCTTCAGAATAATCACAACTCTTCAGAAAAGTCACAACCTTTCATTTTCCATTCGCACCTTGTTAAATTAATCCAACACAACCTAACTAGTTGTCAACATAATCTGTTCTTCTAAAAGTCCTGTTAATTAGGATCTGATTCTTGTAAAATGTTTGTTAATCATTAAAACTTGAATTCAACTCAGCTCAACAAATTACCCTTTTTCCATAATAACAAAGTCATATGCAACTTCCCCTCAAGAAATAATTTGATTTAGTAAGATGTGTGATCTCACATAAGTCTAGGGACACACTTTCCACTAATTGCAATTTCTTGGCCTGAATTTATAGATCTCAAGAAATGTTACATTACGTTGCTGGTGAACTATAAAGACCTGATTAAGGTTTTATGTTACGTCAATTTGAACTTGCTTATTAATGTATTCAATTGAAACCTTATAATGCAATCACAAAGCATTACATTGAATACATTTTAATCTTCTTAAGTATCAATCCATATTCCACCAACAAATCTCAGATAATGTATTGACTTATATTTTTCCGTCTCAATTTATATGACATTGTTTGACTTGACATGAAATTTAATGAAAAAAATAAAATGTTTAGAATTGATAGCTTTAAACACTCTTTGAACCTTTTGTGGGGCAATAAATCATTTTGTTATATGAATGTGCCTAGACCACTATTGGCGAAGCAGCCCAATGCCAGATTAAGTGGTTATGTGTGGAATTTGGGTTGATAAATAGAGTCTTTTGAGAGTAAAATAGATTTATGTGAAGTGTGATTATGCGTAGACAAAACTATGCTTCTCATCCTCAATTCTCTCTTAGTCCCCTCATCTCATTCTCCTTTAAAGTTACTGTTTTATTAGTATTCTTCATATTGTAATTGCTCATATACGTACGAATCATAGCTTGTTAGTTTGTTCTTTCTGTTATTCATTGTTGAGTTGAGAAAATCACTACGTTCATAAAAAAAATAAGTTATTTCTAATTATAAAAAGATAGTACTTTTTTTCTTGATAAGCTAAAAAATATCACATAATTACATTGAGATACAAGGAGTACAAGATTTCAAATTATGATTTGATAAATGTAAACTCGAACAGAAGAAGCCTGAGTTATTACATCAATGTCATGGAAAATCAGTTAGTCCTCGTGGCTTACATGTAACACTTTGAAAAATAGTACTCTTTTCGTTTTAATTTATTTATTTTGGTTTTATTGTACTCTGTTTTAAAAATAACATCTTTCACCTTTTTGATAATTTTTTAATTTCAACTTTTCACGTGATATTTAAGACAACAAAATTAAATATCATTTTGGTATATTCTACATATTTTTAATTAAAACCATAAAATTCAAAAAAATTATTTACTTTCTTAAACTTCCAATTCAAAACAAAATTAAAACTAGAGAATAATAAAATTGGTTGTTGATTTCAAGGTTGAATAGATTTTAATGAGAAAATCTCTCTTATTCACCATTCATGAATCCAAAGAATAAAGAGGTATGACAAGAGAGCACTTTGAATTAAGGTCCATAATATATTGGTTAATGACCGACCAGGGTTGCAGTGGACTGATAAGTACTCACTCCTTCATTCTTAATCAAATGTCTTGAGTACAAAGTTACTTTGTTAGACAATACTTTAATGTAAGACTTTCTGACGCGAATTCAAATTTAATCAAACTCTAATATGAGTACCAGACACCAGATGAGAAACCAAAAAATATAGGCTAATGAGCTAACACAACAAATAGAAGCAATCTAATGAGCAATGATCTTGGTCAAAAAGAAGTATAATGATGCA